CTTCAACAGCACAAAGTCTGCTTCGACTATCAAGGCACCCCGAAAATAGCAGTTCACAAGAGTGACAAATATACAAAAGAAGTAGAGGAAAATGACGATAGTAAGGATGAGGAAAGAAAAAGCAGCCATACCCCCTATGTTGTTCCGGCACAGTATGAGCATGACATTGATAAATCTGCCCATTTACAATTCAACTGTGCATAAGAACATGTTAGTATCTCCCCTTTGGGAATGACCTAAAGACAACTTCAGTCAGTAGCAGTTAGCACCGCCCTGGTTGGGGGGGGTGATCAAACTCTCCCGTCTTTTCTCCCTTGATCATGGGGCATCAGGACAGACGGGTCATCGTTGTAGATTTGTCGCCTCTTACTTTTACTTTGCTGGCTTTTTTTTCCTTGTTGGCCTTTAAAATAGGGTCTGTTTTGTAGTTTGTCATCACTTGTTGGCCTTTAAAATAGGGTCTGTTTTGTAGTTTGTCAACACTTGTTGGTCTTTAAAATAGGGTCTGTTTTGTAGTTTGTCAACACTTGTTGGCCTTTAAAATAGGGTCTGTTTTGTAGTTTGTCAACTTTTCTTTCAAATTTGAGCCTGTTGATGCTGTTTAATTTGTACACTCTGTTTTGATAGTGTTCAAGGTCGCTAAATGTTGAATATTTGTAAGAAAATGCTTACATTTCCCCCTTGCACTTCCTATAGATGAAGTATTAGAGACACCCTGAAAATGTCTCCTAAGAACTTCAACTTTAACATACCAGGTAGCTACTTTGATATGGGGGAGCCTGAGTCCTGACAGACCCAGCTGGAGAGACTCAGTCCCTCCCTCCCTACCTCCCGCACTCACTCCCTCCCTCCCTCCCTCACTCATTCCCTCACTCACTCACCCCGTCCCTCACTCACTCACCCCGTCCCTCACTCACTCCCTCCCTCCCTCCCTCCCTCCACAGAGAGCTGACGTGCCACACCAGCCTCGCCTGCAATGACTCGGTACAGATCAGATTTTACAAATGGACTCGGCCTCGCCAGGGCCAAAGGGCACCGCCCCAGAAATACCTGGGTAAGACTTTGCTTTCGGTTACGCTCTCAGCACTGACTAGATTTGTCGGAAATTTTTAAAAGAATTTTTTATATATCCCTGTATCTGATAATGAAACCCAATGCCATACACATTGTATTCATGTTGTCATAACATAAAAGCAAAGGACTGGCTCTGAGAAAAATGAGTTCTCAATTTTCTCTATGTAGGCCTAATAAAAAGGAAAAATGAGTTCTCAAATTTCTCTATAAATAATAAAAAGGAAAAATGAGTTCTCAAATTTCTCTATATATAATAAAAAGGAAAAATGAGTTCTCAAATTTCTCTATATATAATAAAAAGGAAAAATTAGTTCTCAAATTTCTCTATATATAATAAAAAGGAAAAAATTAGTTCTCAAATTTCTCTATATATAATAAAAAGGAAAAATTAGTTCTCAAATTTCTCTATATATAATAAAAAGGAAAAATTAGTTCTCAAATTTCTCTATATATAATAAAAAGGAAAAATTAGTTCTCAAATTTCTCTATATATAATAAAAAGGAAAAATTAGTTCTCAAATTTCTCTATATATAATAAAAAGGAAAAATTAGTTCTCAAATTTCTCTCTATATAATAAAAAGGAAAAATTAGTTATAAAATTTCTCTATATATAATAAAAAGGAAAAATGAGTTCTCAAATTTCTCTATATAATAAAAAGGAAAGCAATTTTTAAAAAATTATTTGTGGCAATCTCCTCTGAGTCTCTCTCTGTGTTGTCTGGTCTGTAGGTTTTCGTCAAGTGCACATCGCGGTGAGTGGCGACGGTGAGGAGGAGGGGCGAGGTGGGCGGGAGGGGAGCCCGGGGTCGGAGTGGGGGTCAGCCTCCACGTCGGACTCTCGACACTCCTCTCCTGCCCGCGACGACCCTGAGGTCTCGGCCCAGCCCGCCATGACGCAGGAGAAAAAGTGGCAAGGTAACTTGGTGTAGACAATTTTTTAATATTATTATTGGTAAGTGTTTTACGGCGCTCGCAACTGCATAAAGTCATATGAACGCGCGGGACACATAACACTTTTTCAGTTGGTAGGAAATTTTGAATTTTGCCCGACGGGTGGCGGCCGAAGCCTACTCTGATCGATTTTAGACCACCAAGGGATCTTTAACGTGCGCTACTTGCACGCGGGCCCTCCAAGATTTTTCGCCCTTGTTGTAGACATCTATGACTCAGTTTTCGAAGAGTCAAAGATATAAAAAAAAGTTTAAATATCATCTAGCCTAAGGCTATTGTCAGAATAGGCATAATGTGTATTGTTCTTTTGAGTATGTATCTATCTATAGAACCGGGATTTGAGATGTGGACATGTCTGTTCCTGTCAGAAAGTTTCCAAGAAAATGTCTTGTTTCTTTACACGAATGTTCCCCACTTCACCCAGGTGGGAATGTGTACCCGGCCATAGACAGCGGAAGATCTTGTCAGGATGTTAGTGTTTTTGCACCTATAAATGACTGCCTGCACTGTATGCTTCCCAGGAAGTTGAGATTGTTTCAGAATGCTCTCAGGTCTGCTGGGGTAATAGTATAGACTGTGAAGTGCATAGAGCTTGCTGTTGAGTGGGGATTTGCGCTATAGCATACAAATGCTATCTATTATTATCATTATTTGATGTGTTTATGTGTGTGGTTTGTTTCAGTGATCTCCAAAGTGGTTCTGGCCTTGGCCCTGGTAGTGGTCGGCCTCCTCATTGACCACTTCGGGGAGGTAACCATCGTTGAGAACATCCACTCCCACAGTATCGCAGTGGCCTGTTACAGTAAGTCCGCTCTGTGTGTGTGTGTGAGTGTGTGAGTGTTGAGAACATCCAGTCCCACAGTATCGCAGTGGCCTGTTACAGTAAGTCCGCTCTGTGTGTGTGTGTGTGTGAGTGTGTGTGTGTGTGAGTGTATGTGAGTGTGTGTGTGTTGAGAACATTCAGTCCCACAGTATCGCAGTGGCCTGTTACAGTAAGTCCGCTCTGTGTGTGTGTGTGTGAGTGTATGTGAGTGTGTGTGTGTTGAGAACATTCAGTCCCACAGTATCGCAGTGGCCTGTTACAGTAAGTCCGCTTTGTGTGTGTGTGTGAGAGTGAGTGTGTGTGTGCGTGTGAGTGAGTATGTGAGTGTGTGTCAGCTGATATATGTACAGTGGAAACCATATATAACAGGCCCAGTAATGTCTAGTAATGTGTCACAGACAGGCCTGCCACATGGCCAGGAGAGAGGACTGCGGGTACTTGTGGCAAGGGAAACTACCCATGAATAAATGGCCATAGACTGCACGAAGAATAAATGACACAGAGGTGGGTGGCATGAAGACCAATATGTCGGGATGTTTGCCATTGGTCACCTGGGGTTTATGTGGTCACTTCTGTTGTGGGTTGTTGTTTTTTGTCCCACGCTTGTGGTATAAGGCCGGCCCCAGAGTGGCTCTGTAGGTCTGACCTGTAGCTCGCCTAGCTGGCACCCTGCAAATGAACGTACATGTATACATTATCGTGAGCCTGAGCAGCGTCGCTGTATGGTCTGACTGTTGTCTGCTGAGCTTCACGACGCGTCAGACGTGCTATTCAACAGTGTTGTAAAACATGGCGGACATGTGTCGCCTCGCTTTGTGTTTATTTTCCACTGAAACTCTTCACAGATCATCAAAATCAGCAAGAAGTAAGTGTTATTAGGTGCTTTACTATTAAATATATTGATGCTAGCATCAACACTTGGCCACAACATCACCAAGAAATGCACTTTATCATACATTGAAACTTCGAATCGAGAGGTTGATGTAGTTTTGACTGTTTGTCGTATGCTAGGCCTAGGCCTAGATCTAGATCTAAATCTAGGCCTGTGTGCTCCTCTAGATTTTAGGCTAGATCTAGATCTGGATTGAGATGCACAGGGATCTCCCTAGAAAGGCCAAGATTCTAGATATTTATAATAATTAACATCTGATCTAGAACTAGAATGTAGATCTAGATTGAAACTGTTCACGCAAGAATCTTTCTCAACTTGACCAATTCTAAATATCTGGTGTGCAATGTCCGTAGATCTAGATCTAGATCTAAATCTAGATGTCTAGATCTAGATCTAGATAGATCTAATCTAGATCTAAATCTAAATCACTCTAGGCCTAAGTGACCCTGTAGCAGTTTTTAATTTAGATCTAGATATCTAGGTATAGGTTAAATCTAGATTCTAGATCTAAACTGAATTGAAGTTATATATCTAATATAGGCCTAGATCTTGATCTAGATCTAGATCTAGAGATAGATTATCTTGGCTATCTAGAAACTAGTGATAGGGCCTATATAGATCTCGAATCTAGATCTAGATATCTAGATCTAATCTAAATCTAGATTCATTAAGGAGGACCACAATTGTACAGGTGCACAGAAAAACAAGCCATTGAAAGAAGCACAGAAGCTTAAGTGTTGATATGATAGTATGAATCAAGTTGCATGATAGTGTGTCTCCGCCAATTCACAGGCAAGTAGCCTAGTCAAGAGTCGCCCTTCGGTCATTCGCCAACCACTAGAGCTAGATTTAGATTCTAGATCTACTTTCCAAACTGCACACTCTTGGTTGGGTGCACAACAAAATCTAGATTCTAGATCTTGATACACGTTTATTCATTAATTAATTCTCTCTCTCTCTCTCTCTCTCTCTCTCTCTCTCTCTCTCTCTCTCTCTCGCTCTCTCTCTCTCTCTCTCTCTCTCTCTCTCTCTCTCTCTCTCTGGGCTAAAATAAATTTATTCTAGTGGGCCTAGGCTAGACACACTGCCCAAGATGATCAGTAGCCTTGCATTGTAACCAATGTAAACTATCGCCACTCGCCAGTCCAGCGAGTTATACAGCACACGCAGGGCTGCAAAAGTGGGAGGGGCCTGCACTTGGCACATGACGTAAGCCTAAAGAAGAGTTGTCCCATCTTGATAGGCTATAATTGGTCTAGGATTACACAGTACCTAAATATAGCAAAGCAGACACGTCTGTTGCACACCTACATACGTCAACACACAATGCGGCTGTGCTGATGCGCAGCGAGTGTGGCTCATGCTCGCTGAGACTGAGACACAGGTGCCAATGCACAGTGCGGCTGTGCTGACACGTAGACAGCGTGCGCTAGGTGAGCTACAGGTCAGACCTACAGAGCCAGTCTGGGGCCAGCCTAAAAGTGATCTGGTTCTACACGACCTCCGGCGTCTGATTGGGGCCCCTGATTCTGTTTTATCTTGTTTCAGCCCTGGCTGGTATACTGGGACTCCAACTGCTGACCTTTAGGTGACCCCCTCCCCTCCCCTCCAGGGTGTACGTGGAGCATGTGTGGACAGACAGACAACTGTGTCAGCTGGACATCCTGGCTGAGGGCTTCGGACGGTGGAACAACGCTGAATGTCCTTCCTGACTGAGGCTTTGTGTAGACCGCGGCTGTCGGACCAGACTCTCCCAGTGTACAGAGCTGGACATAGTTTCACCCTTGTCTGTCGCCAACATCCTTCCACGTGCCCGAGGGTTAGGCCAAGATTTTCTTCCCCTAAAAGAGATACATTTGTTGAACAGATCTTGCATTTGTTTCCTTGGATTTCTTTTCTTTTTTATACCTCTGTGTTTTTTATTGTATTTTTTTGCTGTTTTGGTTGGTTGTTTTTTGTTTTGCAACTTTTTCATTTCCTAAGTTTGTTCCCGGTCTTGTATTGTCATGACTTGTGTTTTCCCATCAGAGGAGCACGTACAGCCTTACGTCTTACAACGCTACACGGTTCAAGATGTGCTGTCTCCTCTGATTGGAAAGTCAGTAATTGACATCAGCATTTCATGGGGGTTAAACGCTCACCCGTGAAAAAACAGGTCGATGTAATTTTAGTTTTAAAAAAGTACTGGTACTGCTTGGAGTGTCACAAAAAACGTGTGTCATGATCTATGTGGATGTTTGAACAAGCTGTAGCAGTAGCAGAAGTTGCTGAAGAGAAGAATAATGAAAATGCTGAAGCCATAACAGAACTTTGGAGGTTAGTGAGAGTTGTGAATTGTGAGTGGTATTGATTTTGTCATTCAGCTTGTCCACTTTGGCTACTGAGATTCTGAAAAAGCAGTTGTTGTTTTTTTCTCTCCAAATTTTATTCTTTATACTGAGTAACCGTATATTGTGTTGTGCATGTGGTGTTTGAGAATTTTTAAAGGTCAGATTTGTTTTGCATTTTGTCTTCATTTATATGTTCCTCTTTTCTTGTAATATTACAATTTCCTTCTTCTCTTCTATTTTGGCTGTACATCTTTCTGAGTACCCTAGTTTGTTTTTGTTTCCAAAATTGGTGTGTTTTAAAAAGCTTCAAATGAAATGTTTTTTGTTTTTAAGTATGGTAATTCTAATGTAGATATAGAATAATAACAAAATTGAAAACTGGCAGCAGCTGTAATATATATATTATATCTGTATATTATTTTTTGAGTTGGTGTCTGGTAATTTGGATGGGTTGGACTAATGATTCCTACGATATATAGATGTAGTGTGGAAGTTTCTGGGACCGCTGAGTGGAGAAACGTGTATGTCCCTTGTCTGGATGTGGTGACTGGTGGTGCTTTTGTGTGTGTGGAAAAACTGTCTGTCTTTTACTACAAGGAATAAAACAGAGAATGTTGTAAAGTGATTCTTGTGGTACCAGGAGAAAACCTGTCACGTTTCTGTGTGTCAATTTTACATTCCCTGTTTTATTCCTTTTTTTTGGGGGGGGGGTATGTTCTGTTGTTTTCTGTGAGCATTTTCCTGTTATTTCATTGTGAAAAGCACTTTGGACTGGCTAGATTCTTGACTTTGGCATAACCCCTTGGAGGTTTAGGGTTTGGATCTAAGTTGGGTCCCAAATTTTTGCGTGTCTTGTCTGGGATCGTTTTTTTCTCTTGGCCGGATGCGTGGAGGGAAGAACGGGCTGTTCTGCCTGCCAAATTCCCAAACCTGTGTCTAGTCATGAGAGAGGTGTGGGAGGCAGTTCTTGTAAACCATCGTGTGAGCGTTAACCGTCAGAACAGAGTACTTTTAGCAGGGCGGTGGACTTTGTTCAACTTTACATGAGTGTTGTTTTAGTCTGTTGCTGGCATTTTACTTTGCTGGGGAATTATGAATATTCTAATTTGAGTGCACTATGATGAGATGCAATTTTATGACTGATTTCTTGTTGTAGTCTTGTAAGGGATTAAACTTTGTAAATTAATTGTTTCTATAATTTTGAGTACAGCGGACGTCAGAGTTTATGTATCGCCGTACTGATTAAGATTTATCGTTCTGGTATAGCAAGGTATTGGCATTGACTTCATATTATTGTATTGGAGTAATTTTCTTCAGTGACACATATTTTTAGACCTAAAAATATTGAACCTGGCATTTTCTTGTCTTGATGATAATGTTGTAGATGGTATGTATCGCGATATCCGATATCGTATATATATCACGGTGACGTCGTATATATATATATATACATCACAGTGGACTCAAGTAGCCCCCAGTCCAGACCTCTCATCTACAGATTGTGATGTCATGTACAGTGAGATAAGACGCAATGTTTGCTCTGTGTATGTCACTATTTTCTTTCAATGGTGCACTTCCAAGAGTCGCAATACAGTTTTAGCATTTGCTTTAACGGCATAAAGTTTTCACGGTAAAGAATTGTATTGTTGTAATGTATTTATGGGATTGATTCTATACCCGGTTGACTGACGTAACAGTGATCGTGAATGAAATGACCCTGTTCCCGTGTGTTTTGTTCCCGTGACCGTGTGGCACATTTGTCACAGAGCGTGAGCGTGTCTGTTTTTGTTATGACTCACAAGTCACAGTGTTTGTGTAGTTGCTGTGGCGTCACATGGTTGCTATGGCGATGTCATCTAGTTCCTGTGACGTCACATAGTTCCTGCGGTGATTTGTGAGGCAGGGCGCGGTGAGCTGAGGCCACAAACTGATGGGGTTGTGCCAGGTTTCCTGCCCTGGGCCGCCCGAGTACCCGTGTGCCAAATAGATGTGTGCCAATCTCTGTTCACACAAACAAGACCGCTTTGCACGGATTGGATTTTTATGCATTATATAAATAATATTAATATGTGCTGGCATTTTCAATTGATCTGTGTTTTGTTTAACTGTCTCAAGTCTGCTGTATAGTCCTGGCCAATGTGCAGGATTTTGCTGTACATGTAACATGTATTATAAGTGTAAGTAAATCATACTGATGATTTGTAAAGTTGTACATCTTTTAGACTACAGGACAGTGAACCGTGTGGATTTGAATGTCAAGACTTGCATTTCTATTATTAGCTTGTTGTGCATACATATACATAACATGCATAATTCGCCTGTGCTTCATGTACATACGTATGTTCAGATTTTGAATTTGAACAGAAGTTTTTCGGAGTTGTCACCATCCTTGATGTAGATGAAATGTCTTTCTTATGTCGCTCTGTACGTGTCCAACACGCTCTACTGGCCGTCCCTACAGTCTGAGCACATCTAGGCAAAAGGTGGATTTTCAAGAAGTAGGCCACAGTTTTCTGGGCGACCCAGCTACCTGGCTGTACCTTGTCAGGGGGGCGAGTCACATTCTGAGCTCTCTCCCCGTAAATGTCCTGCCAGTTCCCCTCTGCATCTTCAGACAAAGACCCATACCTTGGTTAGGTCTTTCATCATGTTCCAACAGAACAGATGTCTGTCAGATGTGCTTCAGGTAGGAAGGGGCCTGGCAAGAAAGGGACGCCATGTCATACATATAACATCAGGATTAAATGAAAGTTGTGTTCCTGGGTCAGTCAGTGAGTAGACTTGAGTGGCAAATGTTGATGAGAGTCGAGAGATCAGCTTTTTGTATTGTCTGAACAGGGTGGAGTTGTGTATCGTTCAACTGTAAATGTAATAGCCTGTACCATACTGTGAACGTGCTATGGATCAAGTAGATCTAGGTTTTCAAAAACTGATAGTTTCAAAAGTTGATCACTCTGTCATGTGTCCAGTATGGCGTGTCTTGTAATGGTAAATGAAAAGTTGATTTTACGCCCTCATCGACACAGTTGAGATCATTTAGGAGGCAGGCCACATCCCGGCCTGAGAGGGTTAGTGCAACATCTCCACGGAGAGACAAAGACGCTCCATAAAAATTCCTCCCCCCAAGGAATCAAACTTGGGTCTCCTGCATGCGATGTAGAAAAGCGTTAAACGGTTCACCACAGACGCGGGACCCAGTAGGGCATAGAGCTCACACAAACATACACATTATATGGGAGTGTTCTATGCTACATGATGAGTGGCAAGAACTTTACACTCCGGGGAAAAAAGAAAAAGGTACCATACGCACAATGTTTGAACGTGTCTCGTGAAGTTTGTGTGTTTGCTAGGTGCTCGGCAGTACTGGCGCGAGTGTGTTCGTTTGTGTGTCTGTGTGTGTGTGTGTCTGTCACTTTGTGGAGAACATACCGGTACATACACCCCCTCTATCAATCTTGTAAATCCAAAGCTTGGTACCCCAATGTGTGCTGCAAAGTTGTGAAATAATTGTGATTGTTCCAATAACTGTTTGTACATGATGTACTTTGTATGAGAGAGTTTTTTTTACAGTAGTAGCCTACAATGTTACTGTAAACCCTCTCTGGTAGGATGACACAGATCTTCTGGTATACGTGTATAATAATGTATAATGTCTGCAATAATTCTGATGAGAGAACTGAGGCATGCGTGAGAGAAGGGATGTTACTTCTGCAATGACTGTCTTCTCTATTGCTCTGTGGTGTGCAATAAACTGAACTGACGAATTGACCATGTCCAATGTGTACAATAAAATGGAGTTACAACTCAACTCTTTCTTTTGTCTTTATTTTGACGTGGTATGTTTCTTTAGTGAAATCACAGGCTACAGAGCAGCCTCTAGACAAAACGACCTTCGATATAACGACATCCTCTGTATAGCGACATGGTGCCCAGGTCCCGATTTTTTCTTTATTTTATATATATATATATATATATATAGGCCTATATCATTAGAAGAAATATTGTTGGTTGCCTTCCTACAATGACAACTCTAAAACTTATAACAACATTTTTTCTGGTCCCGATGATGTCGTCATAGAGAGGCTGCACTGTATAATCTGACTTCTCAATTGAGCTGTTTAATTTTTCATAACTAATAACATATTTAAAATTAAAAGTAGCCTACAATATATTTGGGTGGCGTTGGTTGGACCTGGTGGCCTAGTGGTTAGGCTACCGGACTCGTAATTGTGAGACTGCGGGTCAGGGGGCTTGAGCCTCAGCTCGGTCCGATGTTGTGTCCTTGGGAAAGGCACTTTACAGTACACGAACTTCTCATTTGGCTCTGTAATTTCAAAGATGGACGTTAAACTCGGAGGTCCTGCCTCTTAAATAACGGGTGATTTTTTTAAATCACAAAATCACGCGCAAGGATAACCGGACAAATGGGCAATATCTTTACTGCTAATGGTCATACCTAGACAAATTCTACTTCATTCTTTTTGTGTTTTTTGTGTTAATTTCCTAATTTTATGGGCATTCTTATAATTTAAAACTTGTTTTTAGCTCTTTTCTCAACGTAAAACGGAGTACGTAAAAAAACAACCCAACTATGACCATAGGTCAGCTCCTTATCCTTCTTTTTCAAAGAATTGTGCGTACAATTTATGTGAGACTAGCCTTAAGCTTTCAACTACATGTACATTAAAAAAAAGCTAAATAAAGTCAAGCAAAATTTTCTTCGGAGACACAGCACATGCAGTGGGCCCACTGGAACGTTTAATGAACCGCGCAAAGATGACCAGAAAAATAACAAAATCATCTTATGATCTTCTCACTTGCTCTTGGCATTTTTTTGGGACAAATTATAGTCTGCCTCATTATCTTTTTTTTTCATGCATTTTTTTTCACTATTCAGGACAACTGAATTGTTTTCAGTTATTATCAATTACATGTAGCAATTTCATTGATTAGCACAATTTTTTTTAAAATATAGAGAGAGACCAGCCGTCTGAAAAGTCCACTGCTAATGCTATTTTTAATCAAAGAAAACGGCACAATTTAATACAATAATGTAAAAAGAGTTTTTAAAATATCCAGAAAATAACATAAAATTATTATAAAGTATTACATGTATTAGAATTACGTATACATGACATGTGCTGAAAGTGAAAGACTGAGCAGAGGCTTATAATTTAAACTCTGTTCTCTACTATAGTGCAATAAAAAATACACGGCGCAACTTAATGTGAAATCTCTCTTTACCTATTGAACATGGATTCTCCAACTTTTGCACAATGACTTACTTATATCAATTTGTCTTAACAGGTGAATATTTTTTCAAACTCCTGCACACTGTATTCTAGAAAATTCTTTAATAAATACTAATTAAAAATCTCAGTCTTTGGTTTCTACAAGTTTACAGCTGGGGCAATATCGCTTTGAAAAGCAAGTCTGTCATCTATTATCTATTTGTGGTGGCCGTATTTTGCTATTCAAAAGGTTTTTACTCAAAAGGATCGACATGCGGTTTTCGCCAAAAGATTCTTTAAAATATTCTTCAAAGCATGACGCCCTTGTTTTTTTTCAGTTTTGAGACAGTTTTGCTGCAAAAAGCTACATTTCTTTGTTTCGCCGATCTGTAGCGTAGACCAGTAGGAGTAGGAGCAGTGACGCCAAGGCGTCGACCCGAGCAAAGCCGAGTGCTCAACTAGAAGAAAAAAGGTTGGATCTAATGAAAGTAAAAGTGATTGTTATGATGAGATTTGTTATTAACTCTGGAAAATATAGTTGGATCTAAAATCAACTAGATCTAGAACTAGAACCGTGCAATTCAAGTTTTTTATTTCAATTCCAAGCTAAAGCTCAAAGACATAGCAATAGGTTAGATCTAGCGGATGTAGGCTCTCTGGCTGCTTCTAGCCTACTACTACTGATTCTAGACAGGGAATCTAGATTTAGCTATCATCTGCACTATCCAAAAGCCAAGTATATGATTGAATAAAAACAAAACTGAGAATTCTTGTGTCAGTGGCACGTCACAAATGCCATAGCACCACATTATCACAGTGATCAGGGGAGAGCGGGGTGCCCGGGTCGCTGACCAGTCGTTATGAAAACTTCAACCTCTACAACTCAGGCGCCAAAAGATGTTGGAAAATAATAATACTTTTTGAAGTTTCAAAATTTATATTTACAATCAGTAGTTTTTTTTTAATTTTATCGCGTTTTAAAAATTATCTTTTTTTCTTCCAGAAGCAATAAATATTTCCAGTTCTACCAAATAGATTTTCACGCGAAGACCGCCATTTTGAAGATCTTTCTTTTCCTTTTAAAAAGATGTAGGCCTGTAGGGTGTGGCAGCGCTATTCACAAAACTGAGTTGTTCAGACCCATCAAAACACGAGGCTTCACGGACTATCACAAAAGTCTACGGGGCGTATCGAGGCAGATTAATCGCCCTGCCGCGTGCACGTCCACTAATCTGCCTACTACATACCAGATAGCCTACTATTATATTAGAATTCTACGCCACACTACAGGGTTGCCAGAGATTTTGAAGGCGAAAGGCCAAATTTTTACGAAATAAAGCCCAAAAAGGCCAAATTTTTGGCGAAAAAGGCTAAATTTTAAAAAACTTGGTATTCTCTCCCCACCCCCACAACGATTTCGGAATAATGACATATTTGCACAAAGTACCAAACGCTTTTGCTCATCCAAAGGCAGGGTCTTTTTTAATCTATAAATATTTGAAAGTCCAGTTTTTATCAAATTTTCCCCCATCCTCGGAAGAAGGTTTCCAAGACATTAATGAATTAGAAATCCAATATATATATATATATATATATATATATATATATATATATATATATATATATATATATATATATATATATATATCCAATATATATATATATATATATATATCCAATATATATATCCAATATATATATATATATATATATATATATATATATATATATATATATACATGTATATATGAAAACAGAAAATCACACCCTACCTCCACAGCAAAGCCTAAGAAATAGAATCTCGGCTCGACAGACAGGCTCTCCTTGTATACTGAGGTGAACTGACGACTGCGGAGACGGGCCTGACACCACACACATGCACTCAACCATCCCTCGGGTCGGTGAAATAGAGTAGTAGTAGTAGTAGAGAATCTTTGAGTGTAACCTCCGTTTTCCCGCTGCTAATTAGGTCTAATCTAACCAATAAAAATGTAAACGTAACGAGCTAGGCCTACACACTACATGTGCACGACACCCCGCCCACACACATACATTTTTTGTACTTGGATTCCTCAATCCTCCCTCTGTGACAAGTGAAAACACCGTTTTCATCTTTTCCACGCCGCTCAATATTCGCAGACATTTTTTTTATTTCAAGAAATTGAAGGAGGGAGAAAAAAGGCCAAAGGCCAAATGTAATTTTACTTGGCCAAATGAAATGAAAAAGGCCAATTTTCTGGAATGTGGGCTACAAACTGTCCCCGTGGTTTTATGCAAAAAAATTCTGAAATCATGCAAACTGAGCCCAAAAATGTGAAATTATGCGATTCTGTTAATTTTAACAAAGAATGATAAACGAAAACAATCAGAAATTATGCCCCCCCAAAAGATCAAATTATGCTAAATTATGCGGGGTGCATAAAACCACAAGGACAAAAAAAAGGCCAAATTATGTGGCCTAAATAATGTTCTGTGGGGGTGGGCGTAAACCTTATCTTGGCCATATGTGGCCTAAATTAGCACTCCCTTCTTTAAAATCCACAGAACAACACAACACTTCATCAATGAATTCAAAGAACGAATAATTTAACAAAATAAAAATAAAAAACTTTAATTGGAAACATAATTCTATTTCCATTTGTTCTGAGACTGTTCAAAATGCCCACATGTGTGACGTGGATGGGAAGGTGAATGGAGAAACTGCAGCAACAGTCAGATGTCCAGTTTCCGGAAGGTTCAAATGTCCAGTTTCCGGAAGGTTCCCCCGAGTCCTTCTATCCCGGCATCCCCGCTGCGGCTGGTCGTCTGCTCCGAGTTGAGCGCCATGTTGACGTAGCCATATTTGTTGTCCTCCTCGAACAGGCTGTCAGACGACAGGAAGTTCTCCACCCGCTCCTGGACACACACACATACACACACACACACACACACACACACACACACACAGAGACACACACACACACACACAGATAGAAAGAAAGAAAAAACATGAAAAAAGGGAAAAGGAACACCGGAAGGAGAAATCCACCTTCAAAAGGGGTGTTTAAAAAAAAAAGCAGTTCAAGGAGATTAAGATGTAGATTTTAGTCATGCTTTATATGAAATCATCCTAGTGTACATAGCGATCGGGTGAGATAGAGAAGATAGAGGAATTTGTTTTGTTGAGGAAAGTCTCTGTGAAATTTGTCCCGCCTCAATCTATGGTACATCACTGCTCACTCCTGCACTATCGGTACATCACTGCTCACTCCTGCACTATCGGTACATCACTGCTCACTCCTGCACTATCGGTACATCACTGCTCACTCCTGCACTATCGGTACATCACTGCTCACTCCTGCACTATCGGTACATCACTGCTCACTCCTGCACTATCGGTACATCACTGCTCACTCCTGCACTATCGGTACATCACTGCTCACTCCTGCACTATCGGTACATCACTGCTCACTCCTGCACTATCGGTACATCACTGCTCACTCCTGCACTATCGGTACATTACTGCTCACTCCTGCCCTATCGGTACATAACTGTTCACTCCTGCCCTATCGGTACATAACTGCTCACTCCTGCACTATCGACACGTGTCTGATCACTACATGTCACGACACATGAGACTCGCAAACAAACATTGGACGCTGGAGAAAAGCACCCAGTTTCACCGTACTTCGGGTCGCTTGGTTAAAAGTCAGCTTTAGTTACCCCCCCCCCCCCCCTTCCCCTCCCCATCTTAAAATAAGTTTAAAATTAAAAATCATCTTCGGCACAAGCCGTGCAGACTATTCCTCCCTATGTCGGCCCCACAGAGAGCGGATACCCCGGATGTGTGTGCGAGGCAAAAGTAGGTCAAGTAAGCTCCGAGTGGAGGGTTCATGTAGACCGTTACTACACAGGTCGCTACTTCGTGCAACATTGGGGGAAAGAAATCTCTGTGGTTTCTGTATGAGGGGACAAGTCGTGAGAGTTCTTTCTGTATGAAAGGAATGTACAAATCCTTTAAAACTCGGGGACTCTCATGGCCTAGATCGAATCCGGGTAGCGTACGGGTAGCCTTCTCGGACAAGGGCCAAAAATCTCGGAGGTCCCGTGTGTAAGTTGCACACATTAAAGATACCTTGAAGGTCTAAAATTGGGCAAAATTCAAAATGTCCTACCAACTGAAAACGTTTAATGTGTCCCGCATGCTCATATTATTATGACCGTATGCAGTTGCGAGCGCCGTAAAACACGCAAAAAAGTTTAAAACTCCGGCTGACCTTGTCGTTGTTGGGTGGCTGTTTGCCGCCGATGTCTGTGGGCAGCTGGTGGGGCGGGATGGCGTCATGAAGACCCTCCACTTTGTTGCCATGGAGATGGAGCTGTAGGAAAAGCGAGTCGTTTTGTTGTTGTTGTTGTTGTTGTTGTAGTTGTTGTTGTTGTTGTGGTGGTGGTGGTGGTGGTGGTGACCACGATGATGATGATGATGATGATGATAATGTTGTTGTTGGGGGTGTGGTCCTTTTTTTTAAGGTTAACACTCTTGTTTAGATTTAGTAGAGGTTTTACGGCGCTCGCAACTAAACCTAAAAAAGAGTGTTAACCTTAAAAAAAAGGACCACACCCCCCTCACTATTCCACGTGATATGTATCATTCATAAAGACATACACCTCTAGATCAGATAAAATTATGAGGGCTGCTGTGTGAGTGACTCTGGTTCAAATCCCCACGACCGTGACGAACTTGAACTTACGCTGTTTGTGGAATTAAAATTAAAGAT